TCTGAGACACGAGGAATTTGGAGTACGCCAGCACAGTGGTCATCTTCCGCTCCTCCCAGTACGCAGAGTAATGAGTGCGGTACTCTCTGCTCACCCGCTGCCAGATCTCGACATAAGTACGCTCGGCGAGTTCGACCTTGCCTTCGGCCACGTAGATCTCGGCCTTTTTGATCCATTCCTCAACGTTGTACGACTCGGATTCTTGGATGACTTCGTCGCCTTCTTCATAATCCAGAGAGAACCCGACACCGATATCAATTGGCCCGGCACTGCCCTTGTTGAGATGAATCTCCAGCCCTCCGTTAGCACCATTGGAACCATGACCATGATGGTGGGTGGTAATGGACTCAATTGAAATGGTGATCTCCTTGACCTTCTCCTCTTCCTTGATCAGGGTGTAGTGGTCGATCAATTGCCTGAGAACTGTGACCACAGTTTCAGAATGCTCTCCATAGTGACGCTTGTAGCATTCAACCAACAGCAACAGGACCTCTTCTCTCTTGACCATAATCTCGGTCTTGGTGCTTGTGGTTCTCTGCTGCGTCAATTCGACGAAGGTCCTAGCCATTTGCATTGTCACGATATGGCGTGAAGTTAGAAGCGTGCGGCTCAGCGTGGCGGCTTCAAAGAACAGAGGAATGGCTTCAGAGGTATACTCCAGGCGCTGGTTCAAAAGAGCCAAGAAGATTATGGACTGAAGAGTAACAACATGATTCGCTGACAGCATCTGGCGGTAGATGTTGGTGACAGTGGTCAAGTAGAGCAGCAGCGTGGGCGTAGGTGCATTTCCCCACAGCGTGCTCTCAAGTCGCAGGGTCGTGATCGAAGCCGGTAGGATCTTGGCAAACTCCTTCGCTACTGCAACCTCACTTTTGGCTGTGAACGCTGAGGTTTGCCGAACATGGTGCACCCAGTAACGCACGGCGAATTCGAGCAAGGGATTTCTGTTGACGAGGCGGTCGGTATCGTGCCAGTCCAGAGATACAAGGGAGAGTTCGTTCTCCTGCGTCACCGTTGCCCGGATGTAGATCAACAGGCGAGTCACGAGATCGGCGTGGCGGTCTTTGACGGTCGACACTAGTTTGCCCTTGCTAAAAATATCCAGAAGGGAGGCTCTGAAGAGGCCATGACGAATAAAAACCTGACCATCTTGCACGAATACCAGACCATTGAGTGGTTTCAAGACTTGCAATACGTCCAGCTTACGGTCCGCCACCGTGAGCTTGTCGACCTGTATAGAAGCCAAAAGCTCGAGTTCTTTCAATAGAAGCGGCCGATCGGCTGTAATAAGCCAGAGCAACATGTTCTTTGCATCCTCAGTGACGTTGTGTCCTTGCAGAAGTTGGAGGACAAAGTCGGCAAGAGTAAGCTTGGCACTCAACAGGGCATCCACGGCCTTGTGGAGGCTGTCTTCAGTCTCCTCGTAGCGAACCCGTTTTGTGGCGAGCTTCCCCCAGAGGAATGAGCCCTGGGACGCTTCCGTGATGCGGCCAACGATGGTCTCCTGATCCAGCTCAGACATGCCCAAGAAGACACGACTCTGCTGTAACTGATCCCGTACAACGGCGGCGACATCATCAAAGATGAGTTCCTCGGTGATCTGGACAAAGGCATGGTCTGCTGCAGTGGGAGGCTTGAGTGCACCAAGGGTGATCAATTTCACGTTACTCCCCTTAGCAGTGGCTGTGGCCAGCTGGTTGAGCATGGCGGTTTCACTGCAGGATGCCTCGTCAACGCCATCAACGACAATGACAAGCTCTTTGGCACCAGGCAGAGCCACGCTGAGTGCCGCCTCCAAAGCATTCCACAGAAGACTGTCATAATCCTGCTCATTAGTGGCCTTCTTGCTGCGCTCATGGGCGACACTCAGGATCTGCAGCAACTGCACATTTCCGATGCGCTTATCGAAAAGCTGGTACAGAATGCTTCTGGCTACCGCACGCGGTGTTGCCTCTGCTGGCACTCTTGCATCTGCGGATAAAAAATTAGGAGGTCGCTTGCAGAATGGACTATCTGAGATACTCACTGATTGGAACGAACAATGTGGCGTAGGAGACACCCCCGATCGTGTGCTGCAGCTGATCAACAATCACAGAGGCCAAAACCGTTCGTCCGGAACCAGGCTTGCCAGCGATAGCAAGAGCTTTGAGCGGACTCTTCAAGAAGCGCGCCAAGTAAGGTGCCATCCAAAGACAGGTCATTTCCTCCCGGTCATGGGCCAGATGGGAACTTTGCTCCGCGACATTACCAAGAACGCGATCTTCAGGGCTCAGCCATAGCTTGATTGCCTTGGGATCAGACACTGTTCCTGGTCAGCGGGCTATCCAATGGATAAAGCGATGAATATACCTTTCTCGAGGTCCAAGTTCTCCCTCAGGAGTTGATGGCGCCACATGGCCTCGGAAATCTTCTCGCATCGGTCACGAAATGTCTGAATCTGGCCAGGGAAGGTCTTGTAAAGGTCGATGGAGATCGATGCCGTGGTCAGACCGAGGATCGCCTTGTGAAAGTGCATGGACACACTGGCGACCAGGGTGACCAAGTCCGCCAGAGCGAGTACCAGCTGCTCTCGGATTTCTTGGGAGACGCTGAACAGCTCCGTCCGCTCAAGCAGGTTTCCGAGCTTCATCGAAGTGCTATAGAAAAAGCCAAAGGAAACCATCAGCGCAGACGCATTTTCCTGTCCTAGCTGCGAGTGTGTCAGCCTCGTGAGGTCATCTGTGTAGGATAAATGGTTGTACCTCGAGTAACAGAGCACAGTAGCCGTAAGCCAACTGCGCAGCTAAATAGCTATCACCGGCAAACTCCGCAATCGCCTCGTCGAAAGAGTGCAGCCTCTCGACAAAAAGCTGCGCCCATGATAGCACCTTGTCGTAGCTACTCCCTTCAGGGGGAGCAAGCTCATCCGCTGGGAGCGGATCCAGTCCAAGACCGAGTCATGTGTATGGTTCAACAGCTTGGACGATGCACCGGTGCCGAGCTCGTCGCCACTTCGACGTTTGAGGGAGTGCACCAAACTGGATACTTCGGTTGTTTCGACAAACTTGAATTTCCTGGAGGACACCCTACGGGAAGTGACAGAACGGGCGACGCCATTGTTAGAGAGGACATCGCTGTCCATGAGACCCGAGACCCGTCTGTTGCTAGCTAGCAAACCAGGCGGCAAGGGAGAGGAAACTGTGGCTGCCATGGTTGTTAAGATGACCGGGGCTATAGTAGAGGTGGTATTATCTGTTGACTCTTGGGAAGCCTGAGTGTGGACGACAGGTGGAGAGGTATTAGAACCTGCGGATAATGATTGCTTTGAATTACTAGTTGGAGGGACAATGGTTGTGGGCCCAGTAGGGGAGTCGTAATCAACTGTCGTCTTTCTCGAGTCACGACGACGACTCGCAAAACAACAAAAAAGGCAACTCAAAACAGCATCAGAAGGAAAGAACCATTGAGTAAGAGGAAAAAAGATATTGCAGACCAGAGCAACGAGACGATTTTGAGAGGGCATAGGTTCCTTAAATAATCATATAGGGAGTGAGGGGGCAAATTTTCGTATGCTACGTCGCTGTATGCCACGGCGAGCAATGTGCAGAGCAATCGTCTGGACTGCATGCAATCAAATGTGCATTGGGATGAAATTCACTGAACGGAGCGCCCGACATCAGTCTGGGCTTCTCACTACCATGCTGTAGGAAGATGTTCCAGAGCCACCCTCTCCAACGGCGTCGCCGGTAACAGGCTGGCTGAATGACAGGGGATTCGAGACAGTGGCGCTCAACGCCTACCATCTGCATTCAGGACTTTTGTTGCACTGTGACTGAGCGAGATGGCGCTGTTCGGAGACCACCCTCAGGAGCGACTCGACTGATTTAGAAATTGACATGTCTGCTACCTGGGAAAAGAAAGCACGAGCATACCCTCATTTGTCCTCTCGATGCGTAAGTATGCTGGTAAAGGAGGGGGAAAGAAGTAGCTCTATGCGAGCTTCATCCGCAGCGGGTAGGTTCTTCCTCGCGCTCTAAATTGCAGCAGTTACCAGTTACCACAGTTGTTTATTGCACATTGGTGGACTGAACGACCGTGCCATCGAGGCTTGCTCTCTTCATGCAAACTGCTGTGAATGTCAAGGTTAGCGTGAGCCAGATCGCTCCATTATTCATAGAGTGAGCGAGGCCGGCAACTGCAAGTACTTGTTAAGGCTGGCGCTATTGGTCCATCGTGGTTCTCGTAAGTCACAGCGATCCCTGTCAGATTTGTTGCGTGCAGACTGTGGCTACCTGAGTCAACCTGGTTCCCCATATTACTATTTTCCTACTGTTAGCTGGCTGTAGTAAATTGCACGGCCAATGAGAAGTGACAGGTCAATCCAAGCTGGATGATCCGGTGATGTCCGGACGAACTGTCCATCGAAGCACTTGAGCAATGGGGGAGACGAGACGTCTAAGATCTCGGCTGGGGCTATTCCTCATAATTTGCCGGTTGAGTGTCGGATGAATCGGGCCAAGATGCCTTGAAACAGCTTCGCAGACTATATTAATAGTTCTTGCTTTTTTCCTTTGCTTTTTCCTTTTTCTTTTTTCTCGTGTCTGACAGAGGACGTTGCTTTGGAGAGGACAAGAGACAAAAAGGGCCTGCAAAAGAGTTGGGGAAGAGGAAGCAAACATTTGGCACCTTAGCGGTTCATCGAAGCGCCCATAGAGAGTAGTAATAATTGCAAGGATGATGAGATGACAAGGGATTTTGACAAATCTCATGCATGGATAGTCAATTGACTATCCATCATTGTATCTGAGCACGAGGGTAGGGGGGGTACTCGGACCTGTGAGGACTGGCAAGCGCTCGTCTCATAATCACTGGCAGGCCGGAAAAGAGTAGGCACAGGCCGCTGTAGAGTCTCCACAGATAAAATCTCCTAGCTCGACAGTAGTGACAGAATAGGCCGATGATTGTGGTGGTGGTGGCGGTGGCAGTAGAGTAAATAATCCCCAAAGCGTACTCCGTAGATGGTTGTACTCGGCATAAATGTCTCGATTCGTATCCAAGAGCAGAAACATACAAACCTTACCTTTTTAGGCAAGGGATTGTTCAGCCAGGCAGCCACACTCAATCCCCGCTTTCTGTTCTTTCTGACAACTGACAACATTCTCAGATTAGCTCGCCATCAGTTCATGTCAGCACTGCGATTTGGAACCACAGCATGGGATCAAAGAGCCCTGAAGGACACTGGCAGGCTCCTCATAGTACGAGTTTTACCCTCCCACAAACAACAACCGTCGGCAACTCTAATTTATCCTTCCCGTATAGCCTCCAACTCCAATGAGCTCAAGCCAGCCAATCCCGACCCTCAGACCTCTCGAAATGGCTCGGGATCGGCCGATTTGGATCGTGGAGTCATTGGTGATAATGATGACGACGATGAGGATGCCGAAGAAAATGGGGTGAACACCGAGACTCCCAATGTTGGTAAGCTCAATCAACCACTTCCCAAAATTTCGATCAAGTGCACTTAACCACCACTGACGGTCTACGCATAACAGAAAAGAAGAAGAAACGCAAGAAGTCCAACAAGAAGAAGAAGAAGACCAAATCGGGAACCCTTTCGGCGACTGAGCTCAAGCAGACTAGCCCACCGCGTGTGCTGGTCTCGACTTTGTTCCCTTCGGAGTATCCAGTAGGAGAACTCGTCCCGTACGACTGTACGTCGCGCACGACCGATGAAGAGGCGCGCTACAACTCGCGTCTCTGGGACGAGGACTTCCTCCCCGATTACCGCCAGGCTGCCGAAATCCATCGCCAGGTCCGCCAATATGCGCAGAAAGAGCTTATCAAGCCGGGAGCAACTCTCCTATCGATTGCCGAGGGTATCGAAGATGGTGTTCGTGCGCTCTCCGGCCACCAGGGACTTGAACCTGGAGACTTCTTCAAAGCCGGCATGGGCTTCCCCACTGGCCTATGCTTGAATCACATTGCCGCTCATTGGACTCCAAATCCACGTGAGAAGGACGTCATCCTGGACAAGAGTGATGTCCTCAAGGTAGACTTTGGTGTGCATGTGAATGGTCGCATTGTTGATTCGGCATTTACTGTCGCTTTTGACGACAAGTACGATAATCTTCTTACTGCAGTGAGGGAGGCAACCAATACCGGTATCAAGGTATGTCTGTCCACGCAAGAACGTTGAGCTGAAATGCTGTGATGCTGATGCGCAGGTAGCATGCTGGTGTTGATGCAAGGATGAGTGATATTGGCGCCGCGATCCAGGAGGTGATGGAGAGCTACGAAGTCGAAATTGACGGAAAAGTCTTCCCGGTCAAGGCTATCCGCAACATCACTGGCCACGATATTCTCCGGTACCATATCCATGGCGGAAAACAGATCCCCTTTATCAAGAACAATAACCAGGACAAGATGGAAGAGGGAGAAGTATATGCCATCGAGACTTTTGGAAGTACTGGCAGAGGATTCCTCGACGATGATGTAGGGCACAAGAGAGTTTTTCCCCTTCAGTACATGTCATTTTCTAATGCTGCAGTAGGTCGGAGTTTACGGCTACGGGAGAAACGAGAACATGTCTGGTGCCAATCTGCATCTTTCCTCGGCCAAGTCACTCCTCAAAACCATCGACGCCAATTTTGGCAGCATCGTCTTTTCTCGCCGGTATCTCGAGCGTCTTGGGGTGAAGAACTATCTTCTTGGGGTAAGCAACTGAGACAGTATTGCGTATACGGCTGTTGACTTTACCACACAGATGAAGAATCTGGTGGACAACGGCATCGTTGAATGCTATTCGCCGCTTGTTGACGTGAAGGGATCCTACACGGCCCAGTTCGAGCATACGATTCTCCTCCACAGCGGTGGGAAAGAAGTCATCAGTCGTGGTGATGACTATTAACCTGAATACATGAGCACAATTGCCCATTCAACGATTTGGCTACCTAGTTGCCGTCCAGTCCTTACCTCGCTATGTCTCTAGTTTCTCACCCTTGTCACTCGCTTATCTGCAGTGTATTCAAACTACACAGTCTCTCGCTATCTAGGGTAACCTTTACACTGAAATGCGAAACTTATACAGTTCGACCATCTACTCCGTAGTGTATCTTAAGAAATGATCTTATCAGTCTGGATGCTATTGATAGTACTAATGCGTGACTTTGAGGTTATCCATGCCTCATTGATACCCCGCATTGGATTGGCCCTGGCCGGAGGAACTAGCAACAAATCATGAAAATCTGGGCTGAGAAAACCACTTCCACGTATGCCATAACAATCGCATCATCATTACAAGATGCCTGGATCTCCTGATCTTCTGATCTTCTGATCGTGAATCGCCTAGCTTATCTTGCTTTGGATCCTTGGAGAAGGGACAGTCAACGTGGGGGCCACATGACTCCGCGTCATCCTTGTTTTCTTCACTTTTTTCCATGGTTCCTCCACTTTATCTAATAGTCCCCATATTCCCTTTTCTCGACACCTATAGACAAACATCGATTGATCAGTTCAATTGAATAATTCACTATGAAGATTGAAACTCTTCGCGAGATATCCTCGCACAACCTGCGAACCTTCCAAAATCACTATGTTTCCGAGATCTCCGGTTCGCTTGGCGATCTGGGAACCTTTCTTCCCATCGCCATCGCCCTTGCTGTCAACGGGACCGTCTCGCTGTCCAGTACGTTAATATTCTCAGGCATCTTCAACATCCTGACCGGTCTGTTCTTCGGGATCCCACTGCCCGTGCAGCCGATGAAAGCCATTGCCGCGGTAGCCATCGCCCGATCCTTCAGCAACGGGACCATCGCTGCGGCCGGGATTTTCGTAGGCGCATGCATCCTGATCTTCAGTGTGACGGGTCTACTTCACTGGTTTGCCAATGTGATTCCCATCCCGGTCATCAAGGGCATCCAGGTCGGCGCGGGATTGTCCCTGGTCATCGCCGCGGCGGGGAAGACCCTCGCGCCGCTGGGGTGGCTCCAGCCTTCATGGGCGGATAACCGTCTGTGGGCCATTGCGGGGTTTATCTTTCTGCTATTCACGAACTTCTATCGCAGTGTGCCGTATGCGCTGATCGTGTTCACCCTGGGATTGGCGTTTGCGCTTGTCCAGTCGACGTTGGCGGCCAGCCTGCCGTCGCTGGAGATTTGGCGGCCGTTTGTGGTGATTCCCGGGATGTCGGAGTGGAAGGTTGGCGCGTTGGATGCCGGAGTTGGGCAGATCCCGCTGACGACGCTCAACTCGATTGTGGCGGTTGTGCATCTGGCGGGCGATCTTTTGCCACAGGTGAAGACGCCGTCCATCACGGCCATCGGGCTGAGTGTGGCTGGGATGAATCTCGTTGGGTGCTGGTTCGGGGCGATGCCGGTCTGCCATGGCTCTGGTGGGTTAGCGGCGCAGTACCGATTCGGGGCGCGTTCTGGCTCGAGTGTCATTTTCCTGGGAGGGTTGAAACTGGTGATTGGCGTATTCTTCGGGGAGACTCTCGTTGGGCTGCTAAAGCGGTTTCCTTCCGCGCTGCTTGGCGTAATGGTCATCGCAGCCGGTCTGGAGCTGGTCAGTGTCGGCGAGAGTCTCAACACCACTGGAGCCAGAGATATCGCCGGGATTGGGCAAGGACTTACAGGCGATAGCGAGCACGAAATCGGGCCCATGCTCAGTGATGTCGAGCGGAAGAGGCGGTGGACAGTCATGATGGTTACTGTGGGCTTGCTCGTGGGGTTCAAGAATGATGCCATCGGCTTCGTGGCGGGCATGCTTTGCCACTGGGTGTTTCAGCTGCCCTGGGCGTTTGAGAGAGCACGAGCGAGATGGAGCGAGGGAAGGATCAGGGTATAGGCCTCTTATCAACAGATACATTTGCTACGAGTTACGACGACCTTTTGCACACGGCTTGCACGACATCCATTCTGTACAGCTAATTCAACATGACATTCAAAAGAAAAAACTACAACAAATCCGCCATATTCACATCCGTCTCCCTCTTCAACCTCGTCCCCTGATCCGTCTCAAACTCCCGACTCGCCCTCTGCTCAGCCGAATACCCACTCTGCCCACGTCCCCGGCCACGGTCCCGGTATCGCGGCACCCCATCGGCATCGTAATCGGCACGCTGCTCCTCATACGCCCCTGTGTACGCATTGTAAGTCCTAGCACCAGGTAAGGGGGTCCCGATATCGTACGACGATCTCCCCACCGACGAACTCCACCACTCATCGCCGCGGCCCCTCTCATCGCGCTCATTTTCGGATCCTGTCGGAATCCCATACTGCGTCCCGCGTCGTAGGTCGTCGCCCCCGTCTCGTCGTCCAGGTCGGTAATCCGCCGCACTCCGCCGGGCAGCGTCTCCGACCCGGACGCTAGCATCTGCTGCTCCTGCCCGGTGCGGTCGTAGCGGCGCTCCTCCACGACGGCCGGCTGGCCGAGGTCTTGATGCGCGGTGCGGACCACCGTCGTCCCGTCCGGGTCGGTGTGCGAGGTGGTGGTGTACCGGTGGCCGGTGGTGGTGTTGCCGTTGGTGGTGTTGGTGGAGGAGCTGTAGTAGTAGGAGGAGCTGGTGTAGGAGTCGGTCATTTTGTTTCCTTTTTTTCTTTACAGTGCAAAGCCAAGCTATGTATATGCAAGCTATGTATATGAATCTGCACGATATTTACAGCGAAGTACGTAGTGAAAAAGAAAGTATGTGCAGTCGATGTTTATATACTTCCCGTGGCGATGGAGAAGCCGCTTGACATCATCGCTTCATAACAATGGCAAATCTCCGCCTCCACACTCGGTACCAGGGCTTTTGCTCATGCGGAGTCTAGAATCCTAGATCAATGGCCACGATTACCAGAACTAGAGACCATGGTTGTAGTAGGGCCATATAGTTCTCTTTCGCTATTACCTAGTCTGGATTATACACTATTGGCTTCTATCTCTGGAGTTGCTTCACCAGAGTCAGCTAGTACTTAGCACGCCGGGCTCTGGGGCGTCTTCAGATAATCAATGCGAGGTCAAGCATATTCTATTTAGGGATCTACACTTTAGAGAGTACTTCATGAGATGACAAAATTCTATTCAGATACAACTTTTAATGTACTATCGGGATATCAAGGCACAGTCGCTAAAGAACTCCACAATCAAGCATCAAGCACAAGACGAAAACGCTAAAGGTCAGACGATATTGAGGGCTGGCACTCTTAAGCCTGTCCCAATCCTTTCCTGGCCAACATATGTTGACGAGAAGAGGATAGAGCTAACTGGCCAAGGAGCACAGCTGCCCACGAAGTGAGCGAGGTAGAGGATTGCCAGAAGGCCGAGAACGCCAGCGCGGTGTTGCGAACAACCGCACCCGCATATTCGGCAACAGTGGAATTCTGAACCCCCTCTGCTCGGCTTCCAGGTAGACTCCAAGCCCAACTGTTGAACCAGAAGTTTGCTTTGCCCTTTGCGTGTTTGTTGGCCTGGGTGCTTTGGGCCTCGACCAGCTTTCCAACGTCCTGGGACGTCGGCTTGTATCTGAACGGCCGGAGTACACCAGAGGACTCGCGGAGTAGGCCCGGAGTGAATTGAACAGCACGAACAGCGCCATCTTGCCGACCACGGAATCCAGCAGTCGCCATTTGGGCGTTCTGCGTTACCAGTGGACCAGACACCGACGAAGTGTGGCCGCCTCTACGCCAAGGCCTTGCCTCCTTGGGCGACTGACAAACTTCGATATGAGCGTGCGCGGTGTTTTGCCGTCCGGCAGAATTCTGGGCCGAGCGTTCTGAACGTTGGACATTCACTGGAGATTCCAGCGAAATAATGCGTCCACCAGAATTCTGAACGATACGCCCCATGACTTGGGCATTTGGTGCGGGCGACCACGAAACGGCCGTGTTTGCGCGTGCAGCCGAACTGTGAGCTGAACGCTCCGAGGGTCGGAAATTCGTCGAAACTGTTGGCGAGATCGCGGTGTTTACACGTCCAGCAGAATCGTGAACAGTATGATCCACACGTTGTACATTCGCCTTTACCGTTGGAGAAATCGCAGCGCTTGGTTGAACAGATCCAGGTACCGCTTTCACCGCACGGCTCCTGTCCAAAATTGCGGGCGGTAGAGTCGGCAGGGTATTGGGGCCGAGGCGCTTGGTTACAATAACGTTCTGGCCGGTGTTTCTGACGTCCAGTCGGGCCTTGGTAGATTGGGCTAGCGCTGCGACGGCAGAATCGTTCAGAACACGAGAAGCAGACTTGTCGAGGCAATTGCACTGTACAGCATTAGCAATGATATGATCTGAACCGGCGATATAGGACTTACCCGCTTATGCTGTTTTCGGTGTTTCTCGCAGGCCCCATGTTTCCGAACTTTGATGTAGTTTTCTTTCTGGGCTTGGGACCGTGGTTTCTGCTTTTTCGGCAGATTGGTGGTCGTGTTCATATTCAAATCGAGCACCAACTCAACTCCACCGTTGGCCGGGCTCGGTCTTGAAGAGGGTGGGGTAGATGACTTGGCGGAGGGTTCAGAGGCTGATGTGCTGGATGGACTTCCACGAGACTGCGGCTCAGATGCGCTTCCTGCAGCAGAGTCGGGCCAGCATGGAGAGGAAAAGCTGCCGCATGACTCTGAAGACAGATTGAGATCAGCCGTTGCAGCATCTTGCAGGCGTTGCAGGTGCAAAGTAATGGAAGCTTCAAGACGCTTTTCTTTTCTCGAGAAGCAGCGCGGGTCCGCGGCTGCCTGAGATTCGATCAGTTGTCGGTAGGTCGAAGGTGAGCAGAAGGTTTCTTCCATATTTGAGGCGTCGAATGATGACCATGTGGCATCAAATGTGGAGGCAGAGCACTCCACTTCGGGAAATGATGGCAGTGGAGGAACATTCTCGGGGAAGCCAGCCATGTCCAATGGCATCTCTGTGCTTCCTATTAAAGGGTCCTCGAAGGCAACGAGGTCGGAGAAGGCTGATTGAGGCCATTGAGCGGCTTCCGAATCCCAATTCAGCGCGTCTGCATCACTGTAGACCAACTCCAAGTCTTTTGGAGAGATCGAGTCCAGCGAGGGTGGATTACTCTCCAGATACCCAGTTGAGAACTCGAAGGAGTTGTCAAAGTCAACCCACTCGTCAGCGCGAGCAGGGTTCTCAATGTGAAACAGCGATTGGCTTGCAGACATTGCTTCGATTGCACTAAGAACGACGCTGAATGACTAAAGATGATGCCGAATGACGATGAAAAGATTGATTAATATTAGAGATGAAGCCGTCCGTCTTCGAGATAAGATCTCGGCTATTTACGGTCTTGCGAGAGTGAAAGAATGTACTTTTTGAGGATTTAGCTCGCCAAAAGGCAGAAGGTCGTGCAACCTAAGTGAACACGCGGGTGCTCTGATGAGGAGGAGGAGAGGATGCGAAGAACGAAGGATGAAGAGAAAGAGATGCCTGAAGATGAGGGAAGGTCGTTCAACTCGAGCCAAATACGAGGAAGCTGACTACCTTATTACCCTTCACAGCCTCAGTCACCAACTTAAGGCACCCGCCTTTCCTCTTTTAGGTCCCCGCCTGTTGCGCGCCCTAAGCCGCTTTGGGACCCCGACGGCCTCCCCCACCTTCTTGTTTACAGCATCTGATTGGCCGACTGATGTATTTCACGCAGCTCCCGAAGTTTCATGTGACTCATACTCTGTAGTCTGAGTAACCTGAGACCGAGATTACCTATCTGCAGAGTAGCATCACTGGTTCAGTGTGGGCTGGTGTGAAGCACATGCATATGTAGGGTAATGGGATATTACCGCGCTGATCTCTATGACGCTCGATATGACCACTCTGACTCTACGATGTCGCCAAACGGTGTTATTAGCAACGTCGCAATGACTGCCGAGAAATATATACTAACGTTGTGGCTACAACATATAGTTATTGAGTATCCCAGACTATACATTCTTCTTTCTTCAACACTAAAAGACGCACAAACTCGCAACTACTGATAAAAACACAAACCCACGATTGATTCCCACAAAAGCAGCCCGGCTTTTCTTCTTCTCAGCTGTCGCAGCCTTACCTACAGCAGACGATGCCGGGGTAGGAGTAGGAGTAGGAGTCGGAGTAGGAGAACTGTATTCGCCGCTCTCCGAGTCAAACTGCAAGCACGCCGTCGGCAGGGGATATGAAGTTGAAGCCAGTACGGTTTGCACGGCAGCTGTTTCGGCGAAGAGGCGTGGGACATCAACCTCGAAATTCGCCAGGGCTCCCAGATTGATGTCGACGGTGGGAACAATATTCGTAAAGTTTCCAAAGACGTTGTCCAGCATTGACGTAAGCTTACCATCGCCATTTGAGACAGCTTCGCATTTCTCGTTGACGTTACTGAGCTGGGTCACATTGACAGAAACTTTGGGTAGTTCGAGAAAGGCGCCGACTCCTCCCTGGACGCTTCCTACTGCCGTGTTAATGCCGAGGAGGACCTGAGGTTTGAAGCCGATACTGGCTATAAGGGAGACCAGAGCGGCTTTTGCTTGAAATGGCAAGGCATGGACGGTTGTTTTGTCACTGAGAAGCGGTTAGCTGAAGAATCTGGTGAAAGCGCGGGTTAGCTTACAAGCCTGTGATTGAGGAGTTCGAGATCTCGTCCATGTTCAGCTCCACCTTGGAATTTGCAGGGACCTGAGTACAAGTCAGTGTAAGGAAGAAAGGATGGAATGTTGAGGTGAACTAACGGAGAGGTTGAAGCCATATGAAAAGCCAATGTTTTGGGCAAGGCTCAAACTCATGTCAAACTCCGCCACTATCATCGGGCCAAACACGAGGACTCCGGGAATCTACCACACGTCAGTGACCGGCTCTTGCAGTCTTCTGAGCGAACATACCTCGAAAGGAATAAGTGGAATAGCAGGAAGATGAGCCGTAAAGGAGACCAGATCTTGACTCGCAGAAATATCGAACTCAAGTTCGACCTGCGCAAAGAGCCCGTTTGCAATTACTTCAATGCTGCCATGGTCAAAGAAAGCGATGGTGTTGTTGACAGCGTCCACGAGCCCATCAGATCCAGAAATCTCGAAAGAGCCCTTGTCTAAGACGATGTTGCCTTCCAAGGAGCAATTCTTGCAAGACACAGTGATTCCTGATGGTCTGCGTAATGAGCTTCACTTCTCGGCTTGGATCGGAATAAACTACGTTGAATGCACTTACAGCAGCATGTCCGCCACAGGAATTTCAGGGGGAAATATCTTTTGGTCCACATAATGCTCATTGAGCTCCTTCGTCGACGTTGAAGCGAGTCCCGACGTTGCGCCAGGCGCGGGAAATGTGACCGTCGGAGTCTGAGCAGACCCTCCCATGGTTTTTGTTGTCTCTGGTGATTCAGGCTGCAACTGCTGCTGTCTCTTCATAGGCGTGTTCGAACGTCTCCGGACCTCGGATGGACGTCTGCGCGAAAAAGAGACTCGAGTTGAGTGAAATGCGTCTTGCCAGCCACAGTCGGATTTCCCTAGTGACAGCACGTTGCGAGTCGGATCAATTACGATCTTGGTGACTCTATACACGGTTAATGGTGCTCCCTTATGTAAATATTCGAGGTACTGACCGATATGTTGACCTCGCTCCATCAGGATTACACCCACTATGTGAGGTGACTAGGATGAACCCATCAATCTGCTCGAGTTCTCGATGGACTGAGCGGACTTGCTCAATTGATCCGAATGATATGTCAATCTGTGAGTCCTTGCAGG